GCATGGTTGGCGGGAGACTTGGCAGTGCTGAGTTCGGAACAGTGTTCCCCCGGTGTTTCGGAAGGGCGCTCGGCGCTTCGCTGTTTGCTCATGTGATCAGGCTCTTGTCTCACGTGTCGAGTTTTTGTTGAGTCATTGAGGCATGGTCAGTAGGCTGGACAGTCTAGTAAGTCTCAGTGTTTGTGTCCGGAACTTTGTCACGTTTCAATTCAGAGGATGGGTTTGGGAGGGTAGCTGGTTCCAGTTCCAGCTCAACTCGTTGAATTCGGTTTTCCAGTCACCCGATCAGATCCCAAGCCTGAAGGACTGCGATCACTTCGCTCTTGATCGAAGAGGGTGAGAAGCAGCTGGAATATTTGGAGCTGCGCGACCGTCAGCGCAACCAGAGCCGTCAAGATGAAGATGGCCATGACTCGACTCATGACGTTTCGGATATTGAAAAAGATCTGGCGGCGGCCATGGAATTGCTGAACGACTCAGATGTTGACACAGCTGACGAACAGAAGGACTGTGCAGTTTCAGGGTTGGTGTTGGAATGGCGGTGGGGTGGGGGGGTCGCTTAGGGTTGTTGTTCGGCCCTGTGCGAGCGTTTGCGTGTCTGTCGGTGTGTCTGTTTTGTCTGTTTTTTGGTGTGTGTCGTCCTGTGTCGTGTGTCGTGTGTCGTGCGTCGTGTGTCGTGTGTCGTGTGTCGTGTGTCGTGTGTGTGTGTGTGTCGGTGCGTGCGACCAACAGCAACATCAGGACAAAGCCACGACGTCGCCTGCAGCCCTGGCAACTCCTGCTGCCAAGGCTGGACCCGTTTTCAGGTCTGTAGCTGAGTGTGGCCACAGCAGCAGTGTCAGTCAGGAGACAGTGGAACCATCGCCTGCAGGGGCAACTGCGGAGAAGCCAGTTGCTGAGAAGGACCCGCTTAGAATTATTTGCAAAAGTCACTGGAGTGTGTGGCCAGCAGCTTCAGGAGACAGTGGAACCATCGCCTGCAGGGGCAAATGCGGACAAGCCAGTTGCTGAGAAGGACCCACTTTGAGAGTTTTTTTGCAACTCAAGTGTGTGTCCAGCAGCATCAGGAGACAGTGGAACCCTTGCCGCCTGCTGAGCAGCCAGTTGCTGAGAAGGACAGTGTGTGGCCAGCAGCGTCAGGAGACAGTGTTTCCATCGCCGACTGCAAAGCAGCCAGTTGCGGAGAAGGACCCATTTTGAGAGCTTTTGCAACTCAAGTGTGTGGCCAGCAGCGTCAGGAGACAGTGGGACCATCGCCGGCGGCGGAGCAGCCAGTTGCTGAGAAGGACCCACTGACCCACTTTGGGAGTTTTTTGCAACTCAAGTGTGTGGCCAGCAGCGTCAGGAGAAAGTTGGACCATCGCCGGCGGCGGAGCAGCCAGTTGCTGAGAAGGACCCACTGACCCACTTTGGGAGTTTTTTGCAACTCAAGTGTGTGGCCAGTAGTGTCAGGAGACTGTGGGACCATCGGCAACTGCGGAGCAGCCAGTTGCTGAGAAAAACTCACTTTGAGAGTTTTTGCAACTCAAGTGTGTGGCCAGCAGCGTCAGGAGACAGTGGAACCATCGCCGGCTGCGGAGCTGCGGAGCAGCCAGTTGCTGAAAAGGACCCACTGACCCACTTTGGGAGTTTTTTGCAACTCAAGCAAGTGGCCAGCAGCGTCAGGAGACAGTGGAACTTTCGCCAACTGCGGAGCAGCAGCCAGTTGCGGAGAAGGACCCATTTTGAGAGCTTTTGCAACTCAAGTGTGTGGCCAGCAGCGTCAGGAGACAGTGGAACCATTGCCGGCTGCGGAGCAGCCAATTGCTGAGCAGGATCCACTGACTTTGAAAGTTTTTTGTAGGACTTGACTTGACTGGTCGGAGTGGCTGACTGCCTCAAGTCCAATTGACTCTTCCAGTGCAACTTAACCGTGTGCCCAGCCGTCAGGACAAAGCCGCAGCGTCGGCGTCGGCGTCGCCAAATCCTGCTGCCAAGGCTGGACCTGCTTTGAGGCCTATAGCTGCAACTCAAGTGTGCCAGCGTCAGGACAAAGCAGCACCATCGCCTGTGGCAGGGCTGACAGCCGAGCAGGACTCACCTTTAACACATGGCTCACGGCTCACAGACGTCAAAACATCCACGTAGCCAGGACACAGAGAAGCAGCCTGCTGCAGCCGTTGTTCACACACCAGATACCAGATGATCACGTACTTGACCGGACCCTGTAAAATGCACCCAAAGGCGGGGGGTTACTTCAGGCTTGTAGTAGTTTCAGGCTTGTACTAGATGCCTAGAATCGTATGATGATTGATTATGTCCTTTCCTTGTAAGGGCTTGAGTGGAGTGAGGATCGCTTGGTTTTGGGCATTTTGGGCTAACTCTTTTCCAGCATCTTGCCCACAAAGAGCGATGAACAAATCGTTTCGTTTTACTTAGTAGAACCCAGGGCCCCAGGGCCCAAGGCTAACTCTTTTCCAGCATCTTGCCCAAATCGTTTCTTGTTACTTAGTACTTAGTAGTAGTACTTAGTACTTACTAACTACTACTGTACTACTAACTTAGTAAAGTAGCTAGTAATAAAAACACATAGCATAGAGTGTACCTTGTTGTGAGTAGGACCGCTCTTATGGAGTGTGCGACACAGACACATGGGTTTGCGTTTGGGCTGGGGTTTTCTCGTCGCCAGCTGTTGCGGAGGAGATAGCCAGAACCCTTCCTGATTCAGATGCGGATCACGAAGCAGATGAAAGCATGCAGGCTGGTCTTGCGGCGAAAGCATGTTCGCATTGTTGAAATGTAGAACACCCAGACTCTCAGAGCAAGGCTTTCTTTGTTGGATTGTTGATTGTTGGCATTCTTTTGGGACAGATTAATCTATGCTTCATTGCTTCATTACGGGGTACTGGCGGTACTGGTGCCAGTGCATTGACGCAGTACCATGATGTGTCGTGACTTGCTCGCAGAAGAATTGTCGAACCTGCATGTGTCGTTTTGGATGTGTGTGTGTGTGTAATAGTGTGTGTGTGTGTAGTCAAGTCGTGTGTACAATGCCAATAACATTGGCCGCGTACACCGCGTGCATGATTGCGTTTTTTTCTATGTGGCACGGCAGGCGGTGCGCGCTTGGGCAAGCCCAGATGACACATGATAGAATCACCTAGTACCTACGTTTTGAAGCTTTCATGTTTTGCAGTGGTTGAAGTTGAGGCTATATGAGGGAGAGTGGCTACATGTTTAGCTACGAGATGAACAACGAACAATGCCATCGCCGCGTGTTAGCCGCCTACCAGCGCGTAGTCATCCACGTAGGCAAGGAACACGCAAATGCACACGTGTAGGTGTAGGCGCCCCTGCAGGTAAAGGCGTTGGAGCGTGCTGCGTTGCTAGCGGAGCTGGAAGTGATTGGGGACCTGGAAGTGGCGTCCTGCAAGCGACATGGATTTTATAGTCACGGAGGGCAAACAATGGAGCCCGGACTCCAGGCCTGCAGGCCAACCACCTTGTCCAACTTTGTCCCATTCTTCAACCAAATAACCAATAGACAAAATCAAGCACACACCGTTACCAGCAGTACTGAAGAAAACGGGCCAGCTCGACCATCTCCCACTGCGCTTGGCACGGCGTTTTCCTTGGGCAGGATAAGGAGGCTGCGCCCGGCAGCAGCGCCGACACAAAGGACAAGAAGGACAAAAAGCACAAGAAGGACAAGAGTGACAAGAAGGATAAGAAGGACAAGAAGGACAAGAGCGACAAGAGTAAAGACAAACAAAAGGGGAAGGGCGGCAAGGGCGCGAAGCAGGATAAGACGAAGGGAAAGGGCCAGATTCCTGCAGGCAAAAAGGCTGCTGTGGCTGCGGAAAGCAAACGAAAGCCTGCCAAAGATGCTGCTGCGAAGGGCAGCGCCAAGCGCCAGAGAGGACTCCCGATTCGCGTTGAGTTTGGTTGTGTTGACATTTGGTTTCTTCAAAACGCCGGCAAGCGTGATGCTAGCGCACATGGCCCAGGGAAAGAAACGCCGGGAACATCAGCGTCACTCACCAGTTTCTTCAAGAAGTGAGCTGATGGTTCAGAGCACAACGAGGCGCCATGACTTTTCAGCGTTGACGTGTCAATTTGTCTTTTCTTCTGAAATTCAAGCTGCTAATTTTCATAGACTTTTGGGAGAGGACCTGACAGGCCTCAACAACTCGACCAATCATGAAATCAGATAACGTTTTTTTTCCTATCTAAAACCAACGAGTTCTGCAAGCCCAAATTTGTTAGCCCTGCAACGATTCGATGCACGGTCAGCTCCGTTTGTTGTAAGCCTACTTCCCGGGCAAAAAACATTGTGCTGTTTTGTTGCAATAGCAGGTACCAGTATCAATTGATCATTTGTTTTCAAGGCTCATCTGGCTCCACACTTCGCGGAGCCATATGCCTCAGAGCTGCCTAAGGCATTGACGATGGTATTTGCACCTTCTGAGTACTTCTGAGCGTCAGAGCCTAGGGGCGGGCTCTTGTAGGTTTTTCTCGCTGCTCAGGCAGACATTCCATGTCTTTCGGTGAAAAAAGTTGAAGCAGCGCCGCGCATGCCCAGGTCGGGAAGTGGTTGTTTCAGACTGAAAGACCAGTGGAAATCCCTTAATAATTACCGAGGGTATTCCTTAATTACCGCCTAAAACCCTTGATTGTGCAAGTTCACAGTTGGTTCCCTCTGGATTCCCTTTGAAACCACCTCAAAAAAAGACGAGGTCACCCATGCTCACTTCCTGAGTTGCTGGACACGGAACTTTTTCGGTTTGGACCTTTACTTGATGGCTCCCAGCCAGGGTTGTGGGAAATGACCACTTCTGTGATACAACAAAAATGGCTTCCCAAAGGCTAACACCCCATATAAGGGGGGAGATTCCCTTGTATCACAGAAGTGGGAATAAACCCCTTGATTCCACAACCCTGCTCCCAGCCATTCCCTTAGCTTTTTAGGCTTGTAGTGTTTAGTGGGGGTTTCCATTGCTGCATGCCTGCCCTTCGCGCAGGCGGCCGCGCTCGCGAGCGCGGGTTCCGCCTCGCCCCGCAGCCCACGGAGCCCCGGCGGGAGCCGCAGGCGGGATTGAAGGAATGACTCGAAAGCCCTTGATCTTTTGATGTGTTTTGTGGTTCTTTTGTTGTGTTTGTTGGTTGTTCGGTTTGGTTTGCTTTTGCCTTGTGTAGTTAGTTTTGCCCTGCGTGTGTTGGTTTGTTTGGTTGCGGTTCTTGCTAGGTGGTTTCATGTTTGTTTCACTGTGCTGCTTGTGCTATATTTTTTGGTTGCTTGGTTGTCTTGCTCATTAGGAATTAGGTTGTTTGGTATTGGTGTATTAGGTGTTCTGTTTTGTTTTGCATGTTTGCCGTGTTGCTTGTTAGGTGCATGTTGTGCTTTGTTCAACAGTGTTGGTTGCGAGGTGTTGGTTGGTCGTTTGGCGTGTTTTTTTCTTGTTTTAACTGTTTTGTTGTGTTTGCTTGTCGTGTTTCGATCGTTTGGTTTTGCGGGTGTTTTGATTATTTAATTATGAACAGCACTTGTGATTTGCCCGGAGCCCTCGCGCCTGCCAGCGCTTTAGCACCCGCACCTCATGTCGAACTGCTATGTTCAAGACATCGCAAGACCTCATGCGATGCGCGCCGCTGCGCAGGCTGCGGTTTGCACAGGGGTCACTACTTGCGTTTTTTGTGGCTGGCTAGTCTGTTGCTAGCTCAGCCAAGAGCATTTCTGTGAGATTGTGAGAGACGAAGGTCTCCGCGAATCTACGCTGCGGGGCAACTTAAATCTACACCCTTAGGAGGCAAAACATCAACAAAGCCTGGCTGGCCAGGAGCTCGAGTAAGCCTGGCGTATGCCAGAAGAAGCAGACGCCGCGGCGGAACTCCCAGCCAGCGTCTGAGCTCGGGAGGAGGAGCCAGCAGCCCAGGCCGCTCCGGACTCGGCGCCCATATCCCCCGCTATGGCGGTGGATTTGGGCAGGCGGGTCTGGGCCAACTCCCGCGCCAAAACGCAAAGGCCAAGCAAGTTGCCCCCGGCCCCGGCCTGAAAGCCGCACGGACTGTGCTCCCTTGCGCCGCGGCTGGGCGACAAACACTTGATTGTCTTGGCCAAGGGATACTGGACGCCAGCCTCTTTGGATTCTCCCTTGAGGTGGCCCTGGCCTGCGGTCGCACGCTTTGTTTTTGCGTTGTCGAGGCAGACCTTCGGCCCTCCAACCTCATCTCGCAGATCATTGGATTCTTCCACACAGCGCGCTATAGGTGCATGAGGTGCTGCAGCATGGCTGGACGGGTAGCGTGCGTGCATTCAGCAAAGCGCCTTTTGAATGTCGTGCATGCAGTGACCAAAGCACATCTTAGTTGTTCCCGGCTGCATGTAGTATCTTTTCTGACTTACAACTGCTATAGCCGCTCATGCGTACTGAAAAATTCACTCTCCAAGGCTACTCAAGGCACGCCATTGGCTTTGCGTGTAGGGCTTTGAGCCATGTGGCTCGACCCACATGATGCGGGGTGATGTGAGATCTTTGAAAAAACGTGCAAGCTCACCTGCATGTTCAAGAGCCAGTTTGGGTGGCTGAGCACCGAGCAATGCATGCGTGCACTGCAGCTGCTTTAGCCTTTTCTGACCCGACACAAAAGCGCCACGCACCCAGAAAGGCGCGAAGAAAACAATTGCGCACATTTGAAGAACCATCGGTCGTTGCCATGAAGTACTCGACGCTTGCATCCCTTCTCACAAGCCTTGTGATCAGTCCTGGCCTTACACGTGACTACTTTCTGTTTCGTGACAGGCCAACATTGCTTCCATTTTCAACATGTTGCAAGAACAACCATATTATGACTCACCCAGGTTTTGGGGAAGTTTCTGAAGACCAGTCGCTGCACTTCTTCGGGCTTTGCGCTCCTAAGCCTGAACCCTAGAACCCTTGAAGCCTTAAACCCCTAAACCTAAACTGGACAATGGAGCAGCGTGGCTCTGGGCGAACCACACGTGCTGCGGGTTTGACTGTTTTGCTTGGTAAGTTGATTTGTTTCGTCTCGTGTTTGTGCGCGGGTGTGTTTGGTTGTTCTGCTTGGCAAGTTGCTGTTGGACTTTTTGTTATAACTGTTGCTCGTGTTGTGTTGTATAATTTGGTTGTTTCGCTTATTGGGTTGGTTGTTTGCTTGCTTGCTTGCTTGCTTGCTTGCATGCATGCATGTTTGCATGCTGCTTTGTGTGCGTGTGTTGTTGTGTTCGGTTGTTTGCTTTCTTTCCTAGCTAGGTGTTTGGTTGCTGTCTTGCGCGTAGTAGGTTGCTAGATTGTGAAGTTTGCATTTTGTTGTGTTTGGTTGTTTGTTGGCTTTTTGTTTGTGTTTTTGTTTGCGTTTTGTTCTTGTGTTGTGTTGTTTAGTTATATGTTTGCTTGCTTGTATTCCTGTTTTCTTTGTTTGTTTACATTATCTTGTGTCATTTAGGTTGCCGGCGTGGGTTTGGTTGTTTGGGTTTTTGGTTGGTTGGGCGGGTGGGTGGGTGGGTGGGTGGTTGGGTGGTTGGGTGGTTGGGTGGTTGGGTGGTTGGGTGGTTGGGTGGTTGGTTGGTTGGTTGGTTGGTTGGCTGGCTGGTTGGTTGGTTGGTCTGGCTGGCTGGCTGGCTGGCTGGCTGGCTGGCTGGCTGGCTGGCTGGCTGGCTGGCTGGCTGGCTGGCTGGCTGGCTGGCTGGCTGGCTGGCTGGCTGGCTGGCTGGCTGGTTGTGTGCGTGTTATTTATGTTAGGTTGATTCTATGATTGTTCATTCGTTGTTCTTGGCGTGTTTTGGTTGCTTGGTTGTTTGTGTGTTTGTTGTTTGCTTGTTGGTTTGTAAGGCATTCCCCATTGCTTCTCTTTCAAGTCAGTCTCCCGCTTCGCCGTGCTTCAGTCTTTCCGTTTGGCTACAACGCCGTTCTGCTTGGTCAAAATCCGATCCGAGCGCTTGCCGTCGTTCAGGTCGAAAGGCGTCTCGAGAAGCACTAGCGCTAACATCGGGCCTTCTGGCAGCAAGGGATTTTAACCCTGAGCGAACGCGGCACTGGCTTAGCTGAACTGCATCGAACTAGTGCTCAAGGTTCCTCACATGAAGGTTCAGAGATTGCTGCAAATCAGACACTTTGAGTCTCTTAGTCTCTTGTTGTGAGGCCAACATGCATCATGATGAACTGTCTCCCACATCCATGTTCGACAGAGAGGCGTATAGCAAGCTGGGCTGGACATTTAGCATGTGAGGCTCCGTGTTCGTATACAGTTGGACTTAGTCAAGCAGCCGCCAGAAGGGGTTCCTTCTTGGCACAACCCCACAAGTTATGCTGAATAGAAGTTGATTGGCCTAGACTGTGTCACATTTCGGAGGCGATGGTGGGGTTTGGCCGGCAAGTAGATTGCATGTCTAGAATTCGTTTGGTGACAGCAGTTGATCATAGGAGGTGGGTCTCCTAGCGCCGGTCGACTAGACAATGCCTCGGAGAGGCTTTATCCCAGTCCCAAGCCGAAGCCAGTGGAACCTTGAAATTGGCGTTATCCAAAGTCCATAAGATATCGGACACCCCGAAAAAACATTCCGAAAATGAGTTCCATTATTGTTGGACACCAAACATGAATCCTGAGTTGCGTAGATTCAACGTAACGCGGATGTCAGCTGTTGTTTTTTTGACTACCTGATTTATTTATGTTTTTTTTTTTTTTTCTTCGGGGGGGCCTTGGACATTTGAGGTTGTCTCAAGATATGGGACCCCAAAAATGAGGGCATTCTCTTTGCATTCATTTGAGATCACGCCAACAACTTGCTGGTAAGGGAATGTGGGAATGAACCTGGGGATTCCCTTAAAGGAAGCCACCGGTTGGATGGTCTATCTCGGGGTCATTCCATTTCTCATTCCCTGCATCTCTCGAGGCCCAGCTCTAAGCGCGTGCCTGAGGCTCTTGGAAGGTCGGTTTGGGCGCAGCACCAGCGGGGAGCTGTCCCCACGAGACACCTCCGTGGAGGCAATCCGGGAGGATTTGGGAGCGCAATTCTAAGGGTTGATTCCTCGTCCATTTTTTCCAACCATCGTTCTTTTCGAAAACCGGCCGTTTTCAACCTGGGTTTGCGGAGGTGTTCTATACAGGATCCCTGGAAAGAATGGGAAAGGTAGCACCAGAATAATGTTGACCCCAGATCAATCAACCCCAGTAAATTAATAGGGGGGTGGAAACCCTCCAAAAGTGGTCTGAATCCCTACTTGACCCTGACACACCCACACACACACACACCCATGAATCAACCCCAGGTGAATATGGGGTCAACATTACTCGGCATATTTGTTTCAGGTGGAACCAGTTTTAGGCACGTGAACCGCAAGACGCCGCTAGAAAGAATCGGATTCTTTGGGGACACCTGTTATAATTGATTCCATTGCCTTGAGATTCAGGCGACTTTGCATCGGCTTGGGTTGTGCCATGAACAGAGTACCAAGCAAGAGGAGCTGGAGGAATCCGCCGCAGCCAAACCTGTTAGAGTTGATGATTGAAGGCTTCAAAATTCTCCGGACCCAGGGGGAAGAAAAAGGATCAGATCGTGTGGTTTTTGTTACCAAGTGGTTGGTTGGAGGATGCCCGATCTTCGAGCCTTTGGTACCCCTGGCCTGGCATGCAGCTTCTCATGGAGCACGAGCTGCCCACAAATGGCGCTTGTAATCCATGCAAAGACGGGGGGCGTGAATTCACATTCCTGCATGTGGCTTTGTTGCAGCACATTGAACCTGCGCGGTAGATGCATGCTTTCGATTGTGCTGACAGTGCAGTCCTGGGAATTCTTGTTTTGCACCCCTCCCCCCAAACCTGTTCATTTGTGACCCTCTGACAATGACGGTCCGTGAAAACCAAACGCGGTTGTTCAGCTGCACACTGCAGATGAAAATGCCTCTTTGCCCAGTGCCCACATCCAAGCCACAAAACGGCCCCGTCCTTTTTCCCATTGGCCGTCGCTTAGGTGGGAAACATCGTCTGCCTTTTTTCTGTTCTCGGGGGGCTTGTAGCTTGGCAGGTCAGGTTGCAGACTATGCAGAACCTGCGCGAGAACAATGATCTGGCCAGCTCATTTGAGGAGTGCGCCATTCCCCGAACCGGCCAAAGGCCACGCTGTGCGGTTGCCGCCACTTTGGTGCCAGAGCTGGGAGAGTTGTGGCAGCCCAGCGACTACTAGTCTGTACCCTCCCCATTCTCTTCAGGGGTCCTTCTCTTCAAAGAATTTGCAAAATCCTGGAAAATAGGTGGTTTCTAAAGAGAACGATGGGTGAAGAGGCTGCGAAATCAAACCTTAGAACTAGGACAATACAGACCAAGGGCCCTTGCAACCGCTGTGGATCAGTACCATATCTGTTTGAACAACCTGGTGCAAACTCAGAGTCACAAGGAATGGGGTCCTTCGAATTGGTCGACAGCGTTTGGGCGCCCGACCAGTTTGCAGTGGTGGGTTCCTTTTCAGGCGACTCTAAGGTGGGCTCCAGGAACCCCAGGAAACTGGCCCGAGACAACACCACCGACGTCTTGAAGAAAGCCCTTCCGACTTGCCGCTGTGGTTGGCCGCAGGTACCAGACAGCAAGCCAGCGGGTCAAGGCCATGCACAAGCAGCTGGCTAAGGCGGGCGCTGGAGGGCCAAAACACATCGAGGGAGTTCCTCAGATTTTCCGTTTTGGCGGTGTCAGCATTTCTTTGTTGCATGTTGCTTGGATGTTAGGACCTTAACTTTTTTGCCAACTAGTGGGTTTTCCGTTAATCCACTAAAAGTTAAACTTTCAGCAGGGGAGCAGAAAGCAACCGAGATTTCCTTGGTTGGTTGAGGTTTTCTTTGGTTCGGAATCTGTAAGGAACCTTGCTTGCCGGCGTGTTCGGGCTCCTCGGCCGCCAAACCCAAAACCCCAAATCCAAAACCAAGCCTTGAACCTTCACCTCAGCTCGAGAACCAGACCCGAAACACGCTGACCTTGTGCCCAACAAACATCCCCGCAGGTGAGTGAAACCTGCTTGTGGGTGAAGCATGAGTTCGAGGTTCTGCGTTTGCCTTTCAATTGGTCCGCCAACCACAAAGCCAGTTTCTTGGCCTCAGAATGGCGGCATGGGCTGAATGCTGCGGTCCAGGCAAAAAACAATTCGAGATGTGGCGCTCTTCCAGCAGCCGAAGAACATAAAATGCGAGTGCCGCTACGATCGCAAAAAACGGTGTGCTGCTACGATTGCCATGCTTGCCCGGTTCTTTGGGGATCATTGATGGGGTTAGGTGTGTGTCAATAAGTCCTCTCATCAATAACAGCGTGCATTGAATGCGATGTGCGATTGCTGTGGGGATAATACAAATTGCGAGCAACCAGAACAACTCGATATTGGTTTAAACAAATGAGAAATACAAACTTGAAGCCAGCGATGATGAACAATTGCCATATTTTCTCGGGTAAATTCCAATCACTAAGCCCACAGTGAACGTAATCGAGGCGTGATTTGGCAGTATCGCCTGCTGTTTCTACACTTGTGCTATTCCCCGAAGAACGATGTTTCAGAAGCATGTTTTTTCTATCAACAGCTCTGTCAAATGGCGAGCAAAATGAGGAGCAAGACCATCAGCAGCATACACACATGATTGACGTCCAGAGAAGTCAATCCTGAGCAACCATGTGCAATATATGTGTAATCGACTGTTTTGTCTGGCAGATTCACTCCGTTTTTCCGCCAGGGTTCAAACATGTTCAATCAATCAATTGTCTTGGACCCATCTCAGCCTGGGGAGCAGCCATCTCGCATTAGCTTAGAGCGTGCACTCCCTGTCTCCCTTCCCAATCTCCAAGCAGAGCACGCAGGTTGCCACAGAGGCATCGAAGAGCCCGGCCGGGGACCCGACCTCCGACCAACAGCCGGCAAAGCAGGTCATGTCTTTGGTGCATTTTGCCAAGGGATGTTAGGACTTCAATTTTTTTTTATCCAACGAATGGGTTTTCCGTATTAAACCACTAAAGGTTAAACTTTTGGCAGGGGAGCAGGAAGCAACCGAGTAGCGTGTGTGGTCTCCTTTCCCTTCAAAGGCCGGTAGACGCAGCTGCTATTTTAATTCGGGACGCTTTGCTTGGCGATGTCCTGTTGGTTTCCAACACTTTGCAAAGGGATCCTTTCAGCAAAATGAAGACCATGGTGTCATGAGGGTTCCCATAAGATCTGTCTGAAAAGGCACATTGGCACTAGGAAAAGCAGGCTGTTGCTATCCTGGCAAAACTGTGCCATCAAAGGATATGGGTACTTTGCTCTTTCTTATTTTTCTTGGGTACAACATCGACCCCTTAGGGAGTTTGATGTTCGCGGAATTGACATGAGTGTCTATTCCCCGATATCACAGCATTTGTTCCGGGCGGTTCCCCGCATGACCCAACAAAGGTCTGCCCTTCTCCACAGTACAAGTCAGCAACTTAATGGCTGGTGCACTTGCGTAGAATCCGCTGATGGAAGCCCTGGCTCTAGGCGTCAAAACGGGTTGGACGACACGATCGGCTCGCCTCGTGACTGTTTGTTCAATCATCCAACCACAGAGGCAGTAAATGTTTGGTAGCTGAGCCGTATGTAACATCACTTTGCAGGTATTATTCATGATGTTGACCAAATTTGCTGACATGTGCAAGGAATTGTTGCCAGCGTGTGCGTGTTTTGGTGGCAGGAGAATGGTCAGAATAACTCAAAGCAAGGCTGACGTTGACTCGTTTTGGCTGATGTATATTGTTTGTTGTTGCTCTAGATCCATATTTGTTTGTCTATCATTGTGCGGCAGGCCGACACTGGAAATGCGTCAGAATACAATAGTTCTGATTTGACATCAGAAGCATGTACAGGGCGACGTGTATGGAGAAGGCTGGCCCACATTGGAGCCATTTTGGGGCGGCAGTTGCAAAATGAAGCCGGAAGAACACCCTACGTTGACACCTCCATAGGTGTCCTTTTTGGTTGTTTTGGTAGAAAAATAGATGGCCCAGGTTTACCTGGTGGTTTAATCATCTACCAGGGCCATCTATTTGCCCTAAAAGGACACCTATGGGCACCTCTGATGGGTAAGAGATGATCAGGTCGCGAACGCCATTGAGGAGGACGAGGATGAGGATGGCGACGGCATGCAGGCTCAGAGCTTGACGAGTCAGAGACACCTGATACTGAGACTATGACCCGGAAAAACTGACTAGACGGTGGCTTTCCTCGATGCTTAGGAGTTTCGCTTCTGGATATGGAGAACCTTTTAAACGACCTGAGCATCTCTAGGGATGATCGTGAACCATGCACTTTCCCACCGAAGAGGTTCCAAGGGAACGGCCCTGGCCCGGAGTTTTGATGCCACACCTGCGGCGTTTCTTGCAATCTCACCGGAGAAATGCGTGGAACGTAAAGGAAGGAATTCGGCGTTGCGCCATGGACGCTGGCGCTGGCTGCCTTGTGGACGCATAAGTTTGCACTCATAGCGAGCTCACATGGGATGAAACAAGCTCACCAATCATCAAGCTTCTTTACATTGGGATTCCTGACTAGCTGATCCATAGGAGACTGATCTGCCCAGATCTGCACCAACACTTCCCAAAGGTTTTGTCAAATGGCTCCCAAAGCACACCAAAGGTCACTGAACCAATCGTTTGCTTGCGAGTCCTGGCAAGATTCATAGGCTAGGTCCCCCAGTAGTGCCCTTTTACCAGCTTTTTTGGGAGAGGGTTCCCCTACTAAAATAGACTACTGAAAAAAGGGTACCCTTATTCTAAGCTCTCTACTGGAGGACCTAGTAGAGCTTCATCGGCCGTGACGTTTTTCCGGGTATCCAAGTCAGCGGTCGGCGATTCGCGTCGCCAGATGTGCGCAACGCGCTCCCTGAGGGAGTCCAGCAGGCAAGGCTCGAGGGTGAGTGGGTGGCCAATGGCTTGTTGCAAATAGGGAAGGGGACCACCGGCGGGTTTCAAAAACTGGCTGAGAAGAATGGTTGGAATCAACTGCAACAAAAAGCTGGGACCTGAGTTCCTGGATTCAAGCTTTTTGAGAAGACTAGCTTGATGGCAACCAAACTAGTTTGGACTTTTTGGCCACTCGACGCTGGAAGCGAGATGCACGAGTGGGGCGCGGAGGTGTTTTGCTTCTCCAGGGCCCGACCTTTTGATTGAGCCTCGTGTGTCTCTCAAACTCGTTGGGCCCGAAGCTTGTCGGTGTTCAACGTCCATGTTGCAAGTCAAGGCAATCGCCGCCCTTTTCGCATGTGGGGGGGGGTTGTTACAATTGGGGGGGGGGGGCTTTTTTGGTATCGCTTTCAACAAGTCGGCAGTTCCCCAAGGAAATTCAAGGTACTCGGATATGTTTGCGAATCTTTTCAAGGGTGCCAGCCATTCTTGAGGGGGTTCCTCGATTCGGAGACAAGCCCATTCAGGATGCCACTTCCACCGCTCGCGAAAATCGCCGAATCTCCGCCTGAAAGCTGGTGCCCAAGCGCGTTGCCATCCGCAGGCTGGCGAGCAAGCGCATCCGCCCCCTGGGTGACACAGACTCCGAGCTAGGGCCCTAGTGCGCTTAGTGCCTTTGTGGCCGCCCACTGCCAAGGGTGAGAGGGGGAAGATCTCCACTCCGAGCATTGCTTTGGTTGGGATGTTTTCAAGCTATGGATTCAAAGTTCATGGCGAAGTTCAACGCATGGGTCCGAAGCGAGTTTTGGAAGGGCCCTGGAAGCCCGGTACCCTTTTTAGGGAGAAGGGCAAACCAAAGTCGGGTCCCTGAATTTGAGACGCACCCATGTTGCCCAGTGCGCACCACATTTTTCTGGCTGGTAGAGACTGTTGTGTCGGCTCTTTCGGAGTCTCTGAAGGACCCAGCTAGTTACTGGGTTCAATCGAGTTTGGGACCGAGATCGGCTTGTTTGTTTGGGTTTGTGCGCACTAGTTCAGTCGTCAAATCCTGCGTATCCCCGAGGTACGATGATGGCGCGCAGGAGCGGGGAAAGGGGTGGCACATGTTGCGGCCAGAATCGCTTGTCGGAGGTATGTAGACAGGGTTGCCTATATTTCCCCTCATGGTGCTTGGTGCTTTCAAGCATCACCTTTTGGGCCACTCCGCTTGGTGAGGTGATGTATAATGTATAAAGATAAGGTAGACAAGTGTGATTTGGACACTCGTACAAACGGCGCTCGCATCGCCAGGAATTCTGAGCCTGGCAGAGTGAGCAAGTTGATGTTGCACACTTACTGTTCTGTTCGGCCAGGTCCCCTTTTCATTTCAGATGACCACGAAAACGATGGTTGCGCAAAGGTATGGATTTTGGCTCGCATATTAAGGAATCAGGGAGTCTGCTTCTCACGATCGTTGCGCAAAAGTATGGCTTTGGCTGTCAAATTGTTCCCAGTGCGATGTCTTGCAGTTTCGACGCCTTTCCAAACGCAGAGTTGCGTGTTGTCCAAACTGGCATTCGCTTTGCCATCACTTTCTCTTTTGGGGGAGGCCCTTCCTTGTGCATCAGCCTGAGCTTGTACAATCTTACCTCAAGTCGCTAAATGGATACCTGGATCGTATGCAACAGTTTCTACTTGTCGAAAGGCTTCGAGAGTTTTTCTTCGTGAACCTCTCACAGCGTGTTTCATAGGCATATGATGGCAACACATGTCCAAGAATTCCACTGAATTCAAAGCAGTCAGCCTGCAACCAGTTGCCGTCGCATGCCGTCGCTTCTCGCTCGAAAGTCAGCCCGCGGCAAGCCTGCCTTTTTTGGCTCTGGTATTGAGGCGAGGCACCCCAGTGGCTCTCTTGACCACTTTCTCAGAGTGCCGCAAAACCTCCGACTTGACTTGCGCGGTGAGTCTCAAAAAGCGTGGGTGCCTTCCTAAAGTAGAGGTTTCCTTTCCACATTCCATGAGTGGCCAGGAAAGGGGAACCATTCCTGAGGCCTTTGTCTGCTGTAGAGTGTAAATGGGTGAGATGGTTCAACCTTCCCACAACAATGTGTTATGTACTCCACTGGCACCGGGTATTCTCTTTAGGCCACGAGAGGCTCCAGGTATGCAGAGTACCTTGGGGATTGGCAATCCGCCTGCCTTGGTGTCGGATGGTTTAGGGAGAATCGTCTAAAATTTGGGACCTCACAGCTGGGTGGGGGCAAAATATGGTTTAAACACCACCTTTGCAAGGGAAGCATCATCAGAACCAGCGGTTTAAACATGACTAAACCAATGGGTGGCCCCACCCTAGCAGAAGCCTCAAACCGACTTTCCCTCTGGTGTCGACGGCTTTCTTTCAGGACGGTGGAGAGCTGAAGGCTCGGCTGTGAGTGGGCGGGCGGGCGGTTGGGCGGTTGCGGGGGTGGTGCGACAAGATTAAATTGTTCGACCCAATCGGGTGTGGCTGTTTTAGTCTACCTGTCCATTTACCAGGGTTCCATTTTGGAACCCCATTTTTGAGCCACGCCCAATTGTTTAAGACCTCTATATGTCCTTTGTTGCATTGGCGGTGGGGTCGCCATTAGCAGTGGTCTTTGCCCCAACGGGTTCCCTTGATTGTTACGAAGAGGTCACGGGACGACTGATTCTAGGGCTCCGTCATTTCAGGTTGATGGATTTGGATCAATTTATTCAGACCCAGAAGCTGCCCTCGATGAAGATCCCGCGGGCCAAATCGTGCAGATGTTTGCAAGAGCCGTGCTCAATCTAGTTGATACGTTTGCATGCGCTTGGATCGTTGAGCATCTTTGGATGTTTGACGGGGTCCTATAGACAGTGACAGTCAGCCTTTGGGTTCGTGGGTGTTTCCTTTTTGAGCGCTTCTGGGGCCGGCTTAAAGGGACATCGAAGGGTAGCCTTCCAAATTTGCCAACGGGATAATATGAGATCCAAGT